CCGGCGCTGCAGAGCCTCGCGGTGAACCAGTCCAGGTGGGGGTGCATTCACGCCTGGCTGCACAGGCGGGAAGTCAAGACGCTCCTGGGTGAGAACCCCTCGCTTCATGTCAAAATGTGCATTGGGCGTTCAACCTGTATTGGGCGCCCCTGCGACGTGTGTGCTTACGAGTGTCACCCTGAGCTGTGGGACACTGATGCCGGCTTTTTCACGCATGACCCGAGAGGCGTGTGCCCATGTCCAGAGATCCACGATAGATATGGACCGTGGTACTACATTCCCGACATTGCAAGCCTAGAAATGCTGACGGAGAGTACGCCCAGGGGCTGGGCTGATGTGGAAAGTTTAGAGCCGGTGCAAATCATCGAGTCCTCCGAAGACAGTTTTTCTGACCCCGACTTGGATGTGGACTGGTTCTGAATTACTGTCTGATGAGTTCCTATACTGCCAGTGTATACTTGCCTTTTTGTCTTGTAATATTCTACTCTGCAGGGCGGTTATTTACTCTCCAGAGAGCCCCCCCCCCTCATGTATGTGAAAAATAAAGGCGTATACAAATAAAGAGGATTAGATTTAATTTGATTTTGTTTAGAGGCTGTCCATGTGTGACACCACGTAAAGGCAGGCATATAGCAGCGGTAAAAAAATAATTTCTTGTATTTCAAGACCTGGTCTTAAATGCCATTGGCGTTCTCCAGAAGATCCACGACTGGGTCTGGAAACACAAGAAACCTTTTTTCACCGTGTGGAGTGACAACGAACTACATACTTTCTGCAAATAACAATAAACCATAAAACAGGTATGGATGGGGGGGGGGCAAATGGCTTTCAGAATGGTGTGTGATTTTCGAGAGGGTAGTATGGCTGGGGGTGATTCGATTTAATAAGAAATACTCATAGGTAGTGCGCAGGTGAGGTCTCCAGAGACAGACGATTTCCTATTCTGTTTGACCAGCCTCACAACTTTACCACCCGTGGGGTGCTGGGGAATTTAGTCGACAAGAGCACACAAACACAAACTTATAGAGTCGGTCCTCTCAAGGGGTTGCACAGCTCACGTGGGGTTGCGCAGGTTACGCAATGATTGCGCTGTTTGTGGGCCTCGAGACGAACGATATGGGGGCACTTCCCGGCCCAGATATGAGACAGACATGAGACTTCCGGCCTCAGACATGAGACTTTGCCCCTGGTGCCCCTACGACCGAGGACCGAGGTCATGTCCGGTCTCATGTCCAGACCGACGGTTCGGTTCGCCCGCAAGGAGCGCCCGGGTCCGGAGGCGCCCGGTTAGGAGGGCTGCTGACTGATTCAGAAGAGCGCCCCCCTATAGTGTATTTGGATTAACGAAGGAAGAAGAATAGCGGGTAGAACATAAAGGTTCCTGATTGGCCGAGCGCTTACCCCCACTACCAGCGTGACGTGGAGGCGGGAAGCTCTCGACTAATCGGTAACGTTTATGTTCTACCCGCTATTCTTCTTCCTCCGTTAATCGAAGTACACTATACCTTTCGCCTAGCTCCGTCCCTGTCGCACTCATAGGGCAGCCCCCCTTGAGCGCTCTTCGGAATCAGTCTGCTGGCGAGTGGTGCGACGGTCGTTTGGGCGATAGAGACAGACGTATGCTAGCAGCGGTGAGTGCGAGAGAGACGCGAGAGCTCAGCTGACTCCCGGCTTCTGGCGCCGCCGCCGCCCTCGTGCGGTGCGGCCGGTAGACCGTCCCCAGCTCGAGAGACTTTACAGAACTTCTACCTACCCTACCTCACACCACTCTTTCCCGACGAGCATCAACGCTCTCTCGCCACAGGGCGCTGGTCTGTGGCGGCGGTCAGTGGCGCCAAGACGATTTTCGCGAGGTGCAGCAAGCCGGAGGCACAACACCCGGTTATTCCACCCACACCCGGTTATTCCCCCCCCCCCCATTTTCCCTTTTTCCCCATATTTTCGCCCACTTAGGCAGGGACACCAGTGGCGGACTGGGCAGTAAAGGGAAATCTGGAAGTGGGGCCCAGTTTTTCCTACCTTCCAGGGGCAATATATACGTAATAATGCACACCAAGGCGCACATGTCTGGCCCGTTTCAATTAAGTGCATGCTTCCCAGCATGTGCCGACATTGGAACTGTATATACCGCCTGTAGAAATATGTCGCGAGCGGAGCGAGCGCGAAAATTTTTTGATTGTATGAGGTAGCTAAGAAGGCCTTCCGAGTACCGAAACGTGGGCAGGATTCCGTCGGACGCGATTTATGTACAGTGCTCTTGTAGAACAATAAAAAAACGCGAGCGAAGCGAGCGCGAAAAAAATTACATGGCGCTTGAATCTAGGGCCCAGGCCGGGGCTCCTGTCCGGTGTCGCGCTCAGGACTTGGGCCCGTGGCTCGATCTCTTCTCTCGAGCCCTTCGGGCCCGAGATGTCCGCGAGCAGGGGGCCCGGGTGAGGAATCCCACCTCCCCACATTGGCCGGTCCGCCACTGGCGGACACCCTCGCCCCTATTCCTTGCCGGTGCCGGTACTACCTGCTACTCGTTCTGGTTCCCTTCCCTTTCTTTCTCCCTTTCCTTTCTCTTTCCTCTCTCTTTCCTTCTCTCCCTTTTTCCCTCTCTTTTTTTCTTCCTCCCTTCTTACACCCGGTTATTCCTACTCACACCCGGTTATTCCCATTTTAGGTGCAGCATTTGCTGCACCTCGGACCCCCTCTTGGCGCCACTGGCGGCGGTACCCACAGGCAGAATCACTCCCGCTCGCGCCCCGCTCGCCTCACCGCTCGCTCGCAGTCACGCAGTGCGCAGCTCGCGGACAAGACAAGACCAGATCTCGCCGTTTCCACTCCACGCCAGACGCCAGACGCTGCTGCCAACGCTTGCTGGAACTTGAAGGTGGGTCAGTGTCAACTCTGCAGTGAACAAACTAGAAACTCGTCGGCAGTTTATCGTCTCATATTGGCTGATCGTTGTTAACGGCGATAGTGTTGAGCACCGACCCGCAGTTTTGTGGCTTGCCATCTTGAAGCAGAGTTTGGTGATAGACATTTTCTCTCGGTCACGTCACCTTTTTGTTTCTGAAAATTTCCATTTCTGTGTTACCCTAGAACATGGAGCAGCTGCCGGACGACGTGCTGCTGGAGGTGATGCGGTACCTGACTGTGGAAGACCTCTTCGCCTGCCGCCTCGTGTGCAAGAGGCTCGGGGCCCTGGCGCTGCACCCAGACGTGTGGCGGCATCGAGATCTTAACGCCTACGGCGACCAACTCAAATGGCTGTGCCCTGTACTCCGCCTCGCGCCGTGCTTGACCACGCTGATGATGGATCTCCCAACGCCGGGGTGCCTGCTCGCGTGCACCATGGTGAAGTGTGCTGTGAGGGAGTTGTACTTGGGTGTGGTGGACGAGGGCGGCTCCATGCACGCGGCCGCTTTGATCCGCAGCCAGGAGGCGCTCGGCCGACTACGGGTCCTTCAAATAAGCTTCCCTTTGGGTTCTGATAGAGAACAAACTGCTCTGATGGGGACGGTTGCGTCAACGTCTGGCCTTGAAATGCTCATTTGCGACCATTGTTCTCCTTGTCCAGCGTCGACCATAGCAAGGCTAGTTCAGCACGGCGCCGTGACTACGTCATCCCTGAGGTATTTCATCTGCTCTCTGTTTTCCCAATCAGATTATGGTTTTGCACATTTCGTGCTTAGTTTGCACGCCGCTACCTTGGAGAAGGTTGACCTCGGCCTCGGCAGTCGCTTGTCCGACGATTACTGCCCGTACTTGAGCGAGACCGCGTCCCTGCTGGTCGGGATGCCAAACCTGCGGAAGCTAGAATGCCCCGTGCTACCGGGCTTGGAGTCACTGGTCGTATGCGAGTCCCTAACGACCCTGACCATCAATGTGTGTGCGTTACCTGACCGACGTGCCCTCGTGGGGGCTGCGAAACTCCTTCGCCGCGCCCACCAGCTGCGCGAAGTGATGTTGTACTACAGGTCATTCTTCGAAGACAGAAGCCTCCTTGATTTAGGCGTGGACTTGATCCGAGCCTTGGAATGCTCCGGACGTTCCCAGTTGGAAAAGCTGTCACTCGGAGCGTCGTGGGAATTTGCCGCTCCTCCTGACAAGATCTTCACGCTGGTCACACCACTACTCGCCACGCTGCCCTCGCTGCAGGCCCTGAAGCACCTGGCGGTGGACCCGGCACCTAGTGAACTGCTGCTAGGTATCACGCCCCAAACGACCCCGGCTCTGGAGGGCCTGGAGCTTCATCCAATTGATGACACACTTCTTCCGTGCGCTCACGCCTGGCTGCACAGCGACGCAGTCAAGAAGCTGTTCACTAACAACTCCTCACTTGAATTGTTTGTTCCAAATTTACCCAAGTACTGCCCAGATGACGAGCTGTGCGAAGTCTGTGCACTGGGCTGCCACCTGCCCCATTGGCATGACGTTGAACTCGAAAAGTTCGATCTGCTTCACGGGATTACTTGTTCACTCATTCCAAGAAATAAATTCTGTAGCTAAACATCACGCATCCTGCTGCCAAGTACTACATTGTTGTTGTGCTGAGTCAAGTTTTTTTGCTACTACGTGACCGTGCAGTGTGTGCACTTGCGATACTGTCTTTTCATAAAGAGATCACATCAATGTATCAATGTGTACAGATTTCTTAACTGCGTAGATTTAATTCTGATTCAATGAAACTATTAATTGACTAATTCCTCTTTTCAGAATACTAACTGTATTTTGCTCTGTCGACTCTGTAAATGTTTTAAATAAATTGTTGCACACCCTTACTTTTGGTCTAAAGAAACAATCCTTCCTGTGTTAACCGAATGCATGTAGCGCCGTTGTTGTTACACACTTTCCCCCAATCAAAGGATAATTGACTGCCGACTAGGCCTTCCTCCCTAAGCCCTCTCTCCTATCCCCCCCCCCCCAACCCCTCTCCTCTGCCTTCCTTCTCTCCTCTCACATCTCGCTCGCTCGTGGAATCAAAGTCAACCCAGAACATCATTTTCTGCGTGGCTACGTCTGAACAGCAGAAACCTGCGCGAGAGCGAGCGAAATAGAGGGGCGCGGCGTGTGTAGGAGAGAGAGTGGGAGGGAGAGAGAGAGAGAGACGAGAGATCCCCCCGGGGCTGCTCCGCCACCGGCTCCGCCACCGGGTCTGCCCGGCCCAGGCGTGTGCATGACAATGACAAACCGCGAGCAGAGAGCAGAGCAAGTCAGGCGAAAGTTGAAACGACAGAGGCCTCGGTCAGAAGAATGGATCCAGGTTCAGTACGTTCCGTAACTAGGTCGTGCTTCACTGCAGGCGAACGTGTTCACCGGTACTCACCTCACCTCGAACGCGAGATAGGCCCAAAGTAGTAGTCGGAACAAACTGCGCCCGTGCATAATGCGAGTCAGATGTGTCCTTTTCTTTCTTCCTCGCCTGCGCAGAAAACAGTAGGGGGTGCAAGTGGTTGAGACGTTTTGATTTCAGCTAGCAGGCCCGCAAAAAGTTAGCCCGTCTCTGCTCTGCTGGCGGGGCTTGGCGGGGGCTGGCAGGGCTGACGGGTTCTCGCTGTCAGCCGCAGAAGTCGCTGCCTGCTGGCAAGAACGTCTCGATGTTGAGCTCCAAGGTGGGCGAACTGGGTGAGGGAGGGGGGGGGGGGGCTGGCGAGATGTCGTCTCGCGAACTCTCCCCCGTCCCCTCGGCCCCCTTCCACGAGACGACGGTGACGTAGAGATTGTGAAAGTTTGACAGCAGAGAAATTGCAAAGGTAATTTCCCGGGATTCGCAGGGCTCCTGCTGCCGCCGCCGCTGCCGCTCTCCTGTAGAAGAAGAAGAAGAAGAGGGGGGGGGGGTGCCCCACCCCCAACGATACCCCCGCGGCGCCCATCATTCATTGCGCAGGTGCCCTAGACGCCCCTCCTCCAACCCCTTCCACACTGCCAGCCCCCCTCCCAAGAGTTAATACGTAACAGGCCACCTTCTCTTGCTGTTCTCTGAAAAATCGGGATGCGTAGGAGAAGAACATATATAGGTCTCCCTCAGTCACCCCCTGTCTTTGCTCTCCCTCTCCCCCTCCCTCTCGAGTGAGTGGGCCGATCGGGTCCACGGGGTTGGTTGCACAGGCCGCACAGCTTCGTTTATATTTCATGAACATGGGACCAGACGGGCAGATGGAGACGAGTCCTCTCGAGACAAACCGAAGACCCTCCCCACCTCCCTCCCCTTCCCCGGGCCGTCTGTCCTTTCTCCTCATCCCACCGATGCCCAATCACCATTTATTTATCCCCCACCCCTTTGCTCTTCCTTTGCCGTGCTATCGTTTCTTCTTCTTCCTCTCTATTGGTTCTCGACAGGCGGTTCTCCTTGCCTCTGCTCCATTCGTCTGCTTTTGACGGCAGAAGCACCTCCCATGTTTTGTTGTGTTGTTTCTGGTTGATTATACTTTTGCCGTTGTTCGTCGCAGGTGGTGGTTTACATAAATTGAGCGCAAAAAAAGGGGGAGAAGGACCGTAACCGTGGCGATGTTCCGTTCGTTATGCCGTAATAATGCCATCATAATTAATTACTCACAATTTTATCGATCTTGGCTGAACCCCACATTATGTCGTAAGTCGTAGCACGAGAACCCGTACAGAAAAAAGGAGATCTAGAATGTCTCCAGCCGAGACATCG